TTTTTTCCTTTTTAGTTTGTCTAAATTTGAACTTTATTCTTTTTCTTTTTTTTTTTTCATTTAGCATATTATGGGGGTATAAGTATTAAGGTTACGTATATTGCCCTGCCCCACCCACTGAAGGTATTTTTAGACCACCACTCCCAGGGGAGGAGGACACAGGAGGAAATGCCACTTTACTCATCCCAGGAGTCTCTTCAACCACCTGGTAGGTCACAGAATCAGGTGGAGGCTGTCTGGTAAAAGCTGGGACCACAGAGGGAACGTGACTTAGTTGGAGACGCCACTCAAGGTGGAGAGAGAGAGACACCTGGCTCTTCCCTTTCTCCAGTCCTGCAGTCTCCCCACAGTCCCTCCCATTGAGCAAACCCAGAGGAAGCCACGTGGCAAGGAAGCCTGGGAAGTGAGGGGTAGAGCACCCTCCACCCCTTGCACCATGCAAAGCTAATGATGGGAAAGCAGAAAAGGACGTGAGAGTGAGTAGGTGAATGAGCAGGAGAGGAAGGATGAGGGCAGTCATGAATTTGAGGATAGGCATTTCCCCTGGGGAGGGAGTTAGAGGAATGGGGATGGGGAGAGGTCCAAAATGGGCCTCAGCTATATTGGTAAACAATTATTAATAATTTTTCATAGAGTCTGGTGCTAATATGTCAAAAGCATTTATTACACTTGTAAGGTGGGTGACCATATGCTCATACATTTCCTATAATTCCAATATTTCATAAGAAATTATAGAAAAAAAGTAATGTTCTAAATTAGCTGCAATAGTAAGCACTTTCTTGCTCAGACTCACCCTGTTGTCCACCACACTCCCAAGGGCACCCCACACCTCCCTCAGTGATCAGTGACACCTTTGTGGTTTCTGCAGACTCTGGCACCAGCGCGATTGATGCTTTGGCGTGATGGTATATTAAGGGTGGAGTGGGGAAGAGCCAGATGGTATATTAAGGGTGGAGTGGGGAAGAGCCAGACAGGGCAAGAGTGCAGAAAGACAGGGAGGGAAGGGGCCAGGGAGGACTTGGGAAAATGAAGACAGGAAATCACAGGATCTCCCCAGACCCCACTCCTGTAGAGCTTTTTCACCTCTCACTCCTGGGGGGCCTAGAGCAAGTTCCCTGGTCTCCCCTAGCCCCACTGTGTCCTCTTTTGCAACACGTGAACAATAAGGGCTCTTCCCTCAAAGGGTTGTTTCCAGGATTCAATTTCTACACCCACATGAAGAGCACTTTGATTTGTGTTGGTGCATAGTAAACCCTCAACACGTGCGTATTACTGTTATTATGTTTTATTCATTTGATTCCTTGCATCCTCATTGTTACCACAGTTTCTGGTGTTTGACAACCATTTGTTCAGATCAAATAAGTGAAAACCAATTGTCATTTCCTTATCCGAGCCACGCTTTTCTGTGATAATCTTCTCCTAGTTGAACATGTGCATCTAGATACAACACTGCCTGGATTCTGGCCTACAACAGGGCC